TTGGCCTATGATACAGATTTCTTTGGAGATGAAAATTAAATTGATTATTAATATTTTAGTCATTTTGTTTCTCATCTAAATATTTCCATTTTCTGTATTGGTAGACAGTATCCCTCCCCAAGAAAAACCCACCCAAGAAAACCCACCCAAAACTAAGCATTTTGGAATGAGTCTCCTTTTAGTTTTAGAATGTGTATTGTATGACCCATATACTCTTATGTATCTGTTTGGTTTGGTATTAATTTGACTGTATGTGCATGATAGCAGCAATCTTTGCTTTTCTTTGGTCAAAGTTTTCTGTTTATTTTGCTTGTCATTTTCAATGTACTTTAAAAAGATGTCTATGAAGTTTGCTGTTCTGGCAATAAACTTTTGGACTTTTAAATTTTTGTGTTTTGATTTAACAGCATGTTTATACACAGAAGGGCATTTAGCAACAGCTTTTTGATTATTGTAAAATATGTCTAAAATCATCTGATTTCAAAATACATATTAAGAAAGACTACTTAAAAACTATTTTCATTCTGAATTCATGTTAGAATTTGGGCTTTGAGGTTAGTTTTTTTCAAGTGCCTGCTGTATAGCAGGTAGAATCCTTGGAAATAAGCCTTTGTAGAAGCCAGGCTTGAGAGAGGTCAATACCCAGTTCTATTTTCTGGACAATGAATACCAAGTAGCATGGGCAAAAGTCATCATCATAACATTTAAAAAACATGAGGTGGCCAAGATTCTCATTTGGGTATTTCATTTTGTCCCATAAAAGAATTGTCCTTGAATCTATGAAAATAGTTTCTGAAAAGTTCTTGGCTTTCTGTTGAAAGACAATGAGAAGTTTATTCTTTTGATCAAAGAGAAACTTAAAATTCAGACATTTGTCATTAAATTAACAATACTTTATTGAATATCTACTTTGTGTCTGATATTCTAGGTACTATGCGGATTCTGTAGAATTTAGAAGACCCCTGACTTCAGGCTTTTGAAGCCTGGATGGGGACAGAAGGCACACATAACGCAGTCAATGGAGCAACTTGCATCTATCACTAGTATCTATAATAATAAAAGTGTAACATGCTAATTAGATCAGACGTTCTTCCCGATGACCTTCCAGACGAAGCTGGGGCTGTGAGGGAAGCCCAGGTCCCAGGTCCCAGAGGGAAGCTGGTGTGGGCAGCTAGGGGAAGGAAGGCCTATTCTTGCACAAATTTTGTGCATTGGGCCTCTAGTATGTTAATACAATCAAACATTTTATAGTCCAGAGAGAAAATAGGAAAGCAAGTTAAGTGCTATTTGATCATACTTAATACTTAAATTATTGGGGCTTTGGTACTTAGGGTGAAAACAGCACTTATGTCTTCCCTCTTTTCTTGCCCTTGCCCCCCTCCCAATCTTGAAGATTTGTAATTAGTTTCATTCACCAAATGTTGATTTCACATTGTGCCAGAAACTGTAGATCCCATAGTAGGAATCTCTGGTAAAAAATAGTCCTTATAATGTGAAAAGAAAAAAAAATACGATAAATGTTGGGGAAAGTAAATATTCCTTATGTTATAAGGCTGTGTTATCTTGGGCTGCCATAATATGATACCCCAGATGGGGTGGCTTAAATTTATTTTCTCATAGTTCTGGAAGGTAAAATTCAAAGATTCAATTGCAGCCCAGGATTGGTTTACGGTGACAGTTCTTTTGGGCTTGTAGGCAGTGATGGGTATGGAGGGAACTTTGGTGTCTCTTCCTAATCTTTTAAGGATACTAGTCCTATAACATTAGGGCCCCACTCTATAATTTCATTTAACCTTCCCCCTACCCCCATTTAACCATAATTACCTCTTTTAAAGGCCCCATCTCCACATCCTATCTAGTAAAAGGGTACTCTGCAAATTGACGATCACTCCAACACACAAGATGGCTACCCCATGTAGACACAAGATGGCTGCCAGCAGGGGAGGGGAGTTGAGAGGGACCAGGTCTGCAAGGGAGGGCAGTTGTGGGTGATCAGGCCATCAGGGATGGGCAGTTGGGAGGGACCAGGCTTGCAAGGGAGGGCAGTTGGGGGCGATCAAGCCTGCAGGGGAGGGCAGTTAGGGGTGACCAGGCTGACAGAGGAGGGAAGTTGAGGGTGACTGAGCCTGAAGGGAAGGGCATTTGGGGGAGACCCAGGCCTGCAGGGTAGAACATTTGGGGGAGGGGGGGGGGGACCAGGCCTGCAGGGGAGGTCAGTTGGGCAGGACCAGGCTTGCAAGAGAGGGCAGTAGGGGGCGATCAAGCCTGCAGGGGAAGGCAGTTAGGGGTGACCAGGCCTGCAGGGGAGGGCAGTTAGAAGCAAACAGGCTGGCAGGGGAGCAGTTAGATATCAATCAGGCTGGCATGGAAGTGGTTTGGGGGTAATCAGGCTGGCAGGCAGAAGCAGTTAGGGGCAATCAGGAAGGCAGGCAGGCGAGCAGTTGGGAGCCAATAGTCCTGGATTGTGAGAGGGATCCCAGATTGGAGATGGAGGATGCAGGCTGGGCTGAGGGACACACATCCCCATACACAAATTTCATGCACTGGGCCTCTAGTATAGTCATATTGGGGGTTAGGGATTAGACAGCATTTTTGGGGGGGTGGGGAGATGACACAATTCAGCCCATTACAAAGGCCTAAACTAGAATAGGGCAAGAGACTGCTCTAGAAAATGATGATTAAATAAACTAAGAAGCATCAATGTAAAATAATTCTGAAACAGTGTAGCCACTTCGAGTTGCTCTAAAATTAAATAGGACCTGTGTCCTGGGAGAGAGAATATTCTTGACCTGCATTAACTTTTGATTTGGTTAAGATACACAGTGCACCCACTGAAGAGGGAAATACAATATATAAATTTTCAGTGAAAGTCATCTCACATTCAAATAGCCTAACATGTTCTAGGCTGCTGGGCTAACTCTAAATGTGAATAAAAAGGAAAGGTGATCGAGACCGACGGAAAGATCCCAGATTCCATACCTTGGTTATAGGCACATCCCCAGTAGGGGGTGTGCAAGAGGCAGCTGATGGATGATTCTCTCTCATCAATGTTTCTAACTCTCTACCCCTCTTTCTTCTTCTCTGTAAAAAATCAATAAAATATATATTTTTAAAAAGTAAAGATGCTGTGGGCACAGTGAATAAACTCTTCTAGAACTCATCCCTTCCCCCACATCTGCTAGCTGCTATTGGATTGTTTCTCTATTTTCTGGTACTGCCTTTTTATACTCATCACCATTTTTCTGTAGGTGAGAAAATTGTGCTATTTGTCTTTGGAAACAGTTGTTCACAAAAATTTCCTTCATATTTGTTTCTTTATCTGGTGCATACAAATGCCAAGGGGACCAAAGATTTGGCATCAGGCTTGAGTAAAATAAATAATACAAGAAGGAGTAGATTCTAGGAGTTAAAATCATCTACAGACACTGATTCCAGTTCTTGGGAAGGAAATGTAAAAAGTAAACTTGAATTAGTCAATGTAAGGAAGTTCTCAAGGACTCATGGGAACATATCAAACAGACATGGGCTGGTTTAAAATAGTTCCCACAGGTCAAATTTGAAACAATTTGAGCATCAACAAGAATTATGATGGTAATAGAATAGTATTAGAATAGAATAGTAATAGAATGACTTTAAAAAGAATTTACCATTAATAACTCAGTAATAATAATAATAATAATAATAATAAACACAACCTTGGTTCCACAGTGAAACAAAGTGAAGGTGTGGTAAGAATGCTAGCTAATACATGTAGAAGCCATAATAGCAGTAAAGACTTATCATAAGCCCTGGCTGGTGTGGCTCAGTTCGTTGGGCATAATTCTGTGCATTACAGAAAGGTTGCCCGTTGTTTCCAGGCGGGGCAAATGCCCAGGCTTGATCCCAGGTGGCATGTGTGTGGTAGGCAGCCAATCCATATCTCACATGGATGTTTTTCTCCTCTATTCCTCTCTAGAAACAAATAAAAAAAAAAGTTTAAAAAAGAACCATAATTCCTAACATAATGAGATTCAGTGAAGGATTGTGTGAGTCTGTTGGAGTACAGGACATTCATATGGCATAAGGTATCCCACAGATTACCAATTACCAAGAAGAAATGTACTATTAAAATGGAGAGATATAGCCATCATCTTTACTAAGTGATCAAATTTTGCATTACTAACTGAGAATCTAAAATATGTGTCTTTTATGAGGTGTAACAAAGAGGTACACCCATCCCCTTGCAACAATGCTGAAACTGAATCCACTCATAAAGGAAAAAAAAAAAAAAAAAAAATCGGACAAATCCAGAGAGGAGGACATTCTACAAGACAAGTGGCTGAGGCTCCTGACAAAATTCACTGGCTCAGTTTAAAAAGGAGAGTAGGGGACTTCTGTAAAGTAAAAGAGACATGAACCAATTGTGGGTCTTAAGTTGGAAAAAATAAGACGGATATAAAAGGAATTTAGGGGACAACTGTGGAAATTTGAATATAAACTGTATATTAGATATTTTGGAATGATTCTTTTTCTTAGATTTGATCATTTATTGTGGTTATGAAAGCAAAATATCCTCATTCTTAAAAGATCCATACGGACATTTTGGGGGTAAAGTATCTGCAAGTTGCTTTCAAATAATTCAGCAAAAATAGTGTGTGGGTCTGTGTAGATGGAGTGGGAGAAAGCAAACGTGGCCAAATGGTAACAGTGAAAGAGATGAGAGCTACGCGAATGGTCTCTGTACTATTCTTTAAATTGTACTTTAGATATAAACGCTTTAAAAAAAAAGAAGTACATGGGGCTGGTCATGCCGTTCAGAGAAGGCCCGGAGCAAATGCATCCAGGAGAAGTTACTAAAGCAGCGACATTGGAGAGAGGCAGGAAAACACACCTCCCAAAGGGACAGCTCCGGCGCTCCTCAGGCCCGACTCGGGAGGCGGGCCCGGTCACGTGGCTAGCGGCCCCGCCCACAACTCCCAGAAGCCCGCGCGCGCCGCTGGCCGTCCGGCGGCTTTCCGTTGGCGGGCGGGTGCGGCCATGGCGGGTGCGGCCATGGCGGGCGAGCCTCCCCCGGTAGAGGAGCGGCGGCGGCTGCAGGAGGAGCTGGCCGGCTTCGTGGACAGCTGCCGGCGGACGCTGGAGGAGGTGACGTCGTCCCTGGGCTGGAGCCTGGATCGGCTGGACCCCGGGGAGGAGGCGGCGGCCGAGGTGAGGGGTGCGGGCCCTGGGCGCCCGGAGCCTGCGGTTCTCTGGCGGCCGCGTCCACGCGGGGCGGCGGGGGGAGGGCGCGGGAGCCCCGCCCGGCGCCGGAGGCCGGCCGCCGAGGATCCCGGGACGAGCTCGGAGCGGCGCACCTCCTGGGACTTCGGGTTTGAAGAAATGGTGAAAGTGCTGTGGGTGAGGGGGGGATGGCAGGTCTGCTGACGGTTTAGAGAACCAGTGAATGGGCCTCCGAGCGCTGCTGCCCAGGTGTCGGCGCTTTGCTTTCTCCTCTGTCACCCGGATGCCGCAGTGGCACCAGGTGCCGTGTCGGCAGAGCTGGGAGCTCAGTTCACCTTTCTCCGCCCCAAACTGTCCACTTCCGACCGGGGAGCACCTAGTCTAGCATTATTAAGGGACATCACTAAGGGAGGGTGACTAGCAGCCCTGCTGAACATTAGAATTGTTTAGAGAAGGCAAGTGTATTAGTGACCAGTTGTGAGTTTTATTTTATTTATTTATTTTTATATATTTTATTGATTTTTTACAAAGAAGAGAAGGATAGAGAGTAGAAACATCGATGAGAGAGAATCATCCACCAGCTGCCTCTTGCACACCCCCTACTGGGGATGCACCCGCAACCAAGATACATGCCCTTGACAGGAATTGAACCCCGGACCTTTCAGTCCGCAGGCTGACGCTCTATCCTAGGGGTGTCGAACTCAATCAGAGAAGGGGCCAAAATCTAAAATCCAGCCTAAATTGCGGGCTGAATGGTTTACTGAACACTCATAAACTGTCATTGTGATGGAAACGCAGTGGAGTGCAGTGATGACAGTGCGGTGCCGGCCCATTGCAAGGCCTGGCGGGACGGATTTGGCCCGCGGGCCTTGTGTTTGACACATGTGCTAGTATCCACTGGGCCAAACCGGTTTCGGCCAGTTGTGATTTTTAAAAGGTGTGGCCGGAAGGAGAGTTCTAAGGATGGTGGGTAAGGGCGAGCGAGGTCTTATGGGTTCTGGGTCAGCCGTTTCAAAGAACCTATACACGAGGGCAATGGGGGAGGCAGAGAAGCATTTTAAGTCTGGGCATATAATAATTAATACCTATCTTTTAATAACATTAATAGCTTCCATTTATTGAACACTTGCTATGTACTAGGCCCTTTTTGAATTGCTGTATGTATATATAAACTCATGTTTAACTTAATCTTCACAGTAGCTTTGTGAGAGAGGTCCTGCTATATAATGCCCAATTTATAGATGAGGAAACTGAGGCAAAAAAAGGTATCTTAATCCAGTAACTTAAGACAGTAACAATACAGTCAGTAAATGGCAGACCTGGGATTCAAACTAGCTACAGTGTGAAGAATGGAATGGCTAATAAGACTGGAAGCAGAGGGGAGGTGGAAGAGGGTTTAGGAGAGATAAAGGGTAATGGAAGGAGACTTGACTTGTGGTGAACACATAATACATGATATATTACAGAATTGTACACTTGAAACGTATATAATTTTATTAACCAATGTCACCCAAATAAATTCAGTAAAAAAGTAATAAAATAAAATGACGGCAAGTGGAGCAAGTAGTTAGATAATGGCTCTTGTAATCCATGATATCCTGAGTTGAGGTAGTGTTACTATGGATGGATTATGTGGAGGGATTTCAGAGTTATTTAGGAGTAAAAAGAATAGATGGGTGATTGATAAGATGTGGATGATATGGGAGAAGAGCAAGTAGGACCTTTTTATTGAAATAGGAAAACAAAATGAACAGATTTGGGATCAGGAAACCATGAATATAATGAATTTATTTTTGGTCATGTTGTAATTTTAGTTAAGTCTTTAGTGTAAAGTGCTCAAGAGAGAAACAAGGTCTAAGTTAGCTATAGATTTTGGGAGTCACCCCTATATAGTGAAAGTTGAAGCCATGAGTTCTTTTAGTAACTTTGTATCAAATGGCAAAGGCCGCTGGTTAGACCTACATGAAAGCCAACATAGAAAGGGGGACAGGTAGTGAGTGGTACATATGCACAATGGAGTATTATTCAGCAATAAAAAAAGGAAATCCCGCCACTTGTGACAACATGGATGGACCTTGAAGAAATTGTGCTACGTGAAATAATTCACACAGAGAAAGATAAGTACCCTCTGATTTCACTTATATGTGGAATCTAAAAAAACCGAAACAAATGAATAAGCCAAACAGAACATAAACATAGAGAACTAGCTGATAGTTGCCAAAGAAGTGGAGGTTGGGAGTTGGAAATTAAGTGAAAGAAAATATATGTGTAGCCCAGGTTTATAAATTCTCTGGGGGAGGCGGGAAAAGAAAGGGGGACAGATAGAACAAGGAAGACATCTTTAGAGGACACTAGGTAGAAGGAACCAGAGAAGCAGAAGCATGAAAAGTGTGTAAGGATGACAGAAATAGACAATTGGATTGTGACCTAAGAAGCATTCAGACATTATTAAGGACTATGACATGTGCTTTAGTAGCCAGAAGGTTGTTAGTGACCTACTGACTGATGGGTGAGGTTGTTGAGGCAGTGAATGTGAGCAAGTTTTTGAGTTGGGCTTTGATGAGGTGGAGGAGAGGGGACAAAGGCTATAGGGAAAGGTTTTTAATTTTTAAAATTTATTTTTTATTCTTATAAAAAAGTTTATTTGTTTTAGAGAGAGAGGAGAAAGGAAAGAAGAAGAGGGGGGGGAGGGAGAAAGGATAAAGGGAGAGTGGGGGAGGGAGGGAGAAGAGAGAGAGAGATAGAGAACTGGAGGGGAGGGAAGGGAAGGGGAGAAGGAGAGGGAGGGGGAAGAGGAAGAGGAGAGAAGAGAATGAATTGGTTGTGCTGGTTGCCTCCCATACATACCCCAACTTCCAACTGGGGATTAAACCTGCAACCTAGGTAGGTGCTGTGACTGGGAATCAAACACCCAATCTTTTGGTCTATGTGACCCCGCTGGGGCTTTAAATTTTTAATATGCACATACACTCAGACAGGTTGTTGGGAGAGGCCTGCAGAAGAGGCATAACTGGATAGTACCACTTAATAAAGCAGTAAACATTTAATAGTATAATTATTTAAGTCTTTAAATATTATGTACCTTTTTAATTTGATTCTCTTTGATTTTTATAGGATGAAGTTGTGATATGCCCTTATGATTTCAATCATCACATGCCTAAATCATCTTTAGCAAAGCACATGGTATCATGTAGATTGAGGAAACTTGGGTACACCAAAGAAGAAGAGGTATGCATGTATCATATAATTCATGCATTAATAAATTCACAATATATGGAAGTAGAGGGTGAGGTTTTCTGACATGAATAATAGTCATTTGTGGGACAGAATGGTACTAGCCTAATTTCACAAATTATTGCAAGAGATATTTCAGTGATACTAATCTATTGGTTTATATCAAATCTTAAAATAGCTAATCGTCTGATTCTCAAGAACACTGACTTTTTTGTTTTTCTTTTTACTGTTTAGGATAAAATGTATAATTCTGAATTTTTCTATGAGAATATGAAGATACCTTCCATCACTTTGAGTAAGTATTAACTTAATAGACATATATATAGTAAGATATTTTAAAATATCTTACCATATGTATATATTGATAATTCATTTTTAAAATTTTTTAAAAAATATATTTTTTTATTGATTTTTTACAGAGAGGGAGAGGGATAGAGAGTTACAATAGAAACATCCATGAGAGCGAATTATCGATCAGCTGCCTCTTGCACACCCCCTACTGGGGATGTGCCCGCAACCAAGGTACATGCCCTTGACCGGAATCGAACCCCGGACCTTTCAGTCCGCAGGCCGGCGCTATGTCCACTGAGCCAAACTGGTCTTGGCAATAATTCATTTTTTAATTATCAAAAGAATGGACTTATGATTAAGGACATTTGTACCTTAAAAGGATATAGGATTGATTAATGTATAGTGAAACTAGTTTTTGTAATTTGAAAGTTAGAGACCAGGCCTGTTATATTAATAGTCAGTGCAAATCCTAGAAAGCTTTGTACAGTAGGACAGACACCTTTCTTAGTTATAACAAAAATCTGGCCACACAACACAGTTTGAAGACAGAACTGAAGATGGAAATGTGTTCTAAGACAGCGGTTGCCAACCTTTGGGACCTCACGGACCACCAGTGGTCCGTTGACCACCAGTTGGGAACTGCTGTTCTAAGAAGTTGAAATCTTGGGTTTTAAAATAAAAGGCCCTGATTCTGTTCCTGGTTTTGTCACTAACAGATGTGTAACTTTCAATAAGGTTTGTTGTCTAATTTTCTTGATAAAATGGACTTCATGCTTTGGAATTTCCTAATAGATGAGAGTATTTGCACTTTTTTGAAAATGTATTTTTATTGATTTCAGAGAGGAAGGGAGAGCGGGAGAGAGAAATATCAATGATGAGAGAGAATCATTGATAGTCTGCCTCCTGCATGCCCCCTACTGGGAATCAAGCCCACCACCCAGGTATGTGCCTTTGACCAGAAATTGAACCTGGGACCCTTTAGTCTGCAGGCCGACACACTATTCACTGAGCCAAACCAGCTAGGGCAGAGTATTTGCACTTTTATGAAGATTAAATGATATATGTCATAGTCTTAGAATAGTGCCTGACACTTAGTGGGATTCAAGAAATGTTACATATTATTTGTTGCTAAAATTTGTAGCGGCCACTGTTTTGTGCCTGATTATGTTTTTTGAACCATCTGAATGCTGGTTACTTACTGGGATCTAGCTAGATCTGAAAGAATTTCTGCTTTCAGATTACCTAGGCAGCGATTGTGGGTGTTGCCTCTCTTAAGATTTTAAAGGTTTGTGTGTCTAAAAAACGTGAATTGGAACCCAGTTAATAATAATCTAATTGTGGACACTGATGATGCAATTGTGTTTATGGATTTTTTTTTTTTTTGACAGATAAGGACTCACAAATCCAGATAATTAAACAAGCTAGAACTGCAGTTGGAAAAGATGGTGACTATTATAATCAAAGTAAGTGGCATCATAGTTTGAGCTAAATAATGAGTAAAAGTATTTTTCTCCCACAAGCACACATGTTACTAATTTTTAAGAAAAATCTTGTGAAAACAATTATATGGAAAAGGTTAAGTTTTACATATTAGACTATTGTGCTTGGTGTTAGCTTTATTTGCTAGGTATTTTCTGCTCAAATACACAAGTCTGATAAGGACACTGTCTTAGCTAGGACTTCATGCTTTGGAATTTCCTAATAGATTAGATTGCCTTATAGATCATTTTTTAAATTAGGATTATTTAGTTAATAAATCCCATTTAGTGAGACTGTTTTACCCTAAGATTTCCTCTATTGAGGATTAGCCCATTGTTAAATATAATATTGAAATGAACATAAAAGGAAAGGCTTAAGCTAAAAGAGATTAGTTCCCACAGCTGCTCCTCAGAATAAAATGCAAACACAAAATGTTACTTACAATTTCAGAGGGTTTGTGGATCCTTTTATGCCCAATTTTGGAGCTGGTTTAAGAGTTTCTTTCTGGGGCTTATGTTAGCAGAGACTAGGTTAGAATTTTAAGTGTGAGCTTTTAGGAAATCGAAAGAAAACTTTATCCATCAAAAACATAAAGAAGGTAAAGGAGTAAATAGATTTAATAGAGTTTGAACCTAGATAAAACATCTAAGCTAAACATGACTGGCTTCTTTTTATAAGGATTGGAGTTGTTTTTGAACCTTCTGAAGGTAGCTTTCCCCAGACATCTTACTTTTTTTTCCTCACTCTTCTGAATTATATTCACCAGCCCATTGTGGTTTGTTGTCTTTCTTGTTAAGTTCAGGGTCTTAGCCCATTTTTCTAAGTCAATATCTGGGCTTGATATCTCCCTAAGTGCCCAGTGGCTTCCAAGGAGGAAGTCCCTAACCTTTAGTCTGAATTACCTTGTTTCCTTTAACAGCAGGAGCACTTTGTATTTCCTGTTTTGAAGCTCCTGTTTTTTTGTACTTTTGTGCTGAATTCCAGGTTTTTCTCTTTGAGGGAGACATTTGACTTTCTCTTATTGAAGAAATTACTGAACCCCTATTATTGGTTCTACCCATTGCCCCTGTTCATCAACCAATTAAAAAGTAGAGGATTTTTTTTGAGGGGTAAATTGTTAAAAGACTTTATTTGACCTTACCTAGTTGGATTAACTGAATTTATTAGAATTTAAAGAGAACTTGAAGATCATCTAATCTGGTTTCTGCTTTTTACTGATAAGGAAACAAACCCTGACTGATAGAGATGATAAGGTTCTGGTGTCTGTTCTCAAGGTCTTTAATACTTTTAAGAGATTAGTTTTCAAAGCCCTGTTAATATATTTTATTACTCCTTCACAATAAATTTGTGATAGGTTAGACGAGTATTTTCCCCTCCATAGTAGGTGAAGAAGTAGAGGCACACATAATTGAATTGACACTCCTTTGCTAGATAATAGCAAAGCTGGATCTAGAGCCAAGTTCTGAATTTTGGCACAACCACTGCCCTGAATTATTCTGCATTCTGTTAGAAACTCAACATTTAGTGATATTTGTGGATTCTACATAATTGCTCAAATATATTCATTATTTATTTTGTTTATCATGATTAATTAAAAGAACGTCACAAACTTGAAATCTGTACATATTACTACTATTAATACTTTTCATTGTTTATTATATTTTGGGTAAGCCTGTTTTAAAGAAAGAAACCAGTTGCTTGGCCTTGTACAAATAACAGCTTTTCTGAATTTTTACTTTCTTATTTGTAATACAAAACTATCTCCTAATGTTTAGAACAATAGAAAGCAATATTAAGATGAAATGGGTGAGAATTTTATATATATATATAAAATTATATATGTGTATATGTAATTACTCATATATGTATATAAGAGTAATTTTCTAGATCATTTCCTAATCTGAGGTTTTCATATAAGTAATAAGGCAGATTTGGACGTGGAGTTTAGTTTTTTATAAAAACAAATAATTACTTTGAATGAATACTTTTTTCCATACATTAAAAGGAAGTGTTACTTGATTTTGAATTTTTACACTAGCTTAAATTGAAATTTAACTGTTAAGAACTATTTTTATATGATCTGTAACTCTTTTTAAAACTATTTTTCATCTTGTGTAGAGTTCTGCATTTCCTCAACAGAGATTATTTTTGTAGTTTACTTATACCTAAACATCTTACTCCAGGACAAAAATCTCTTTAATATCTTTTTTTTTATGTGTTTATTTTGAAGGAAGACAACCAATATGAACAATTTTACATTTTTTCATGTAATTAATATTTTTTTGTTATACACTAAATTTTAAGTTTTTTTGGTGAGGTTATATATTTATGTTTTCATTTTATCAGTCTTACTAGGTCTCAATTCATTAATCTTTCTGAAAGCTTAAATAACCATTAGATCTACTTACTTATTTTTAGATGTAGTTATTTTGGTTAACTTTATAACCAAGATATTAATTTCAATCATAAACAATCACTTCATATTTAATGGTTTATTTTTTTCCTTCTGTATTAAAGATTCAAGTTGTTATACTTGAATTTCATGGCATAAGTTGATTCTTGAACAACATAGGTTTGAACTGCATAGGTCCACTTACATGTGGATTTCTTTCAATAAATACGGTTGGCCCTCTGTATTTGTGGGTTTTACATCCACGGGTTTGGCATCTGAAGAGGATACCAAAATAGTATTTTTGATCCACAGTTGGAATCCAGGCATGTGGAGGGCTGACTATATATTGTTCTATATAAGAGACTATATATTGACTATATAAGAGACTTGAGCATACACAGATTTTAGTATAAGTCATGGCTGTAATTTAAAGATTAGGGTACTATGGCTAACAAACCCTAAAGCACATGTGTCAAACACAAGGCCCGCGGGCCAAATCCGTCCCGCCAGGCCTTGCAATGTGGCCCGCACAGCGCTGTCATCACTGCACTCCGCTGCGTTTCCATCACAATGACAGTTTATGACTGTTCAGTAAACCATTCGGCCCGCGATTTAGGCTGGATTTTAGATTTTGGCCCCTTCTCTGATTGAGTTCGACACCCCTACCCTAAAGAGATAGAAACAGAGTAGTTCTAAAGCTAATCTGTCCCTACCACTTGTGAAACTTTGGCAGGTCATTTTCTTCTGTGGACTGTAATTTATCTCTAATGTTAAGAAATTGACTCTGAATTCTCTCTAAAATTCTAAGTATGTATCTCAGAAACAGAACCTCTTGTTAAATAGTATAGTATCTCATACGTTTAAGATGCCCAATGATGGCAAAAGTGACTAACAAGGAAGAATTGAGCATTAGAGTTATTAAAAAGTAGATTAGAGTGTCACTTCAGGGTGATGAAAAGCTCTGAAGATGGATAGAAGGAATGGTTGCACAGCAGAGTGAATATACTAATGCCAATGAACTGTACACTTAAAGAAGCTAAAATGGTAAATTTTATGTTATGTATGTTTTACCACAATTAAAAATTATTATACAAAAAAGTAGAAGTTCACAGAATTGGTATGATTACAGAACATTGAAATGCACTCTATCTAAAGCATAGAAACTTGTGTTAGAAAATTTACATTTTATGGAAATGTAAGCTAATATAGTGTGTTTACCCTTTATTTTTTTGTCAGAAATATCTATGTTCTGAATGATTTGAATACCGTTTGTTGTTTAACTTTTCCTGTACTTTTTCTTTTTCAGTAATTGGGGTGAGTATAAAGAGGAATTAGGAACCTGAATGTACTCCTTATTTAAAGATATGCAGTATCCTTTTTGCAAATGATATCCTTTTAAAAGTATCATTCAAATTTCTAAGCTTTATCTTAGTTACTGTCACAATATTACAGTCTTGATTTGGAATTTTAGTTGAATTTTCAAGGAATTTAAGTACCAGTCTTCATATAGAAATTTAAGATGAATAAAGAAAATCATATTTCAAAGAGGAAATTATATTTCTTTGTTTGAAAATAACAGGCAAAGATTTATGTGGAGCTTGTTTATAACACAGTCATGCACTGCATAATGATGTTTTGGTATGCAATGAACTGCATATACCATGGTGATTCATAAGATTATAATGGGTTATAAGTAAGTTTGTTTGTGATATTGAAAGAAAAGGCTGGACCCAACCAGGATGTTGAATTTACTACGAATTCTGGGTGGTTTAAATAGACAAGGAGGCTCGGCATGTTGTCTCCTTGCCTTGCACCCTGCCCAGGGCCTAGAGTTGGTGAAGGAGGGGAACCCAGGAGCTCCTTGCCTTCACCCCGACACCCACCCCTGCACATGCATTAACACATACTACAGCCCATAAATTCGCTTCCCTCTGTTTTTCTTTGTCTCTCTTTCCTCCCAGTCCCATTTCTACCCCCTGTCTCTGTTTCTTTTTCTGTCAAGGGCTCTCTCTCTTTTTCCCTCTTCTGTCCTCCCCCTTTTATTCTCATCTTAAGTTTTATCTGTGTCTCTTTCAATATCTGCTTCTGCTCTCCCCTTCTCTTCTATTCATCCCTTCTTTTCTCCCTCCTCCTAATGTCTACTCTCTCTTCCTCCACAACCCTTCCCTACCTCCTCAAGCCACACATACTTGATCTTTTTTTTTTTTTTTTTTTTTTTTTTTTTTTTTAGATATATTTTATTGATATTTTACAGAGAGGAGGGAGGGAGAGAGAGAGAGAGCTAGAAACGTTGATGAGAGAGAAATGTCAACCAGCTGCCTCTTGCACACTCCCTACCGGGGATGTGCCGGCAGTGTACATGCCCTTGAACGGAATTGAACCTGAGACTTTTCAGTCCGCAGACCATTGAACCAAACCGGTTTCGGCACATACTTGATCTTTTACACAGTATTTTTAATCTACCTTTTTAAGGTTTAGCTATGTTTAGATACACAAATACCATTGAGTTACAGTTGCCTGCAGTATTAGTACAATAATAACATGCTGTGCAGGCCTGTAACCTAGGAGCAATAGGCTATACCACCAAGCCTAGATGTGTAGTAGGATATACCATCTAGGTTTGTATACTCTGTGATAGTCCCACAATGATGGAATTGCTTAATGACACATTTCTCAGAATATATTCCACTCATTAAGTGGAGCATGACTGAATATTAGTGTTTTCTAATCTTTTCTAATTTTTTCCCAGACTTTGTAGCCTATATTGAAAGGAATTAGGTTTATCAAAGCAAACTCATTTTTTACATTACATAATTAAATGTTTTAACATCTGGCTGCACATAAGGGCTTTTCCTAGTGTCTATCAGAAGTGGAGTAAAATTGATTGACTTCAAAAGAAACCTTTCTTCCCCACTAATTCAAAATCTTTTGACTTGCACATTTTAGTTACCTATAGCTGTTAGACCACAGACTCAGATTCAGTGTAGCTATCCTCTTTAATTTGTAGACAAATACAAAGTAATCTTCTGTGTGTGTGTGTTGCAATGCTTTGTTTATAGTATGCTTTTTATTTATTTTCGTCTTTACTTAGGAAGTCAAAGCTAATATCAAATATAAGTATCTGGGAAGAGTTACTGATTTTATATTATTCTATGATAACTCATGTTCTGTTCTTTGCATTAGTGAATAATGAGTCTGGGACTATCATTTTAAATTGCTTTATTTACAGTTAAAGTAATTTTTTATTTGAGAAAATTTGATTCTCAAAACAAATTTTTTTCTTCAAAGTTTAATACATCATATCAAGGTATTGTATTTACTTTTTTTCATTAATGAGCAGATTTTAGAAAGTTCTGTAACTGTTGTGGGGGCACTGCTGTTAACTTTTTTCAGTTAACTTGGTTAAGCCAATATGCTTCCTCTTCTGAAAATTAAAACAAGTTTATAGTCTCATTATAACCTGTCTTTCTCTGGTCTGAGGAAGTGTGGGATTTCTGCTACTTAATTGTTTTTGGTCCATAGCTCTGAGTCATTACATAAATGGGATATATTTTTAATTCGGAATGAGTAGCTTGATGTCTCATAAAAAAAGGACATTTTTAAACACATTTTTCATATTTCTATAATTTATTTTCAATGTAACAACAATATGTATTACCTATTAAAAGTCTTCTCCACCAGCTTTTTATGGGAAAAAACATATACACAGAAAGCAAGTTAATGTCTACTTTTATAATATGGGTAGCCTTTTAAAAATTGTTTACCAAAAGGTTTTCTTATGAACAGTGAGTGTCTTATGATAATTACTGTCTGCCTTCATGGGATCTGTTTTAACATTGTTGAAGAGAAGAGCATATAGTCACAATATATCCTGTATGTGAATGTAGAATTCAGGATAAAGTCATTATTTACCATTTGTCACATAGATTGATATTTTGTAATTTAGGCATTACTATGAAAAAATTTTATTTAATACTGTATTACTATAGTGCATGTTTATAGATAAGTAGTAGATCTTAAGTCCACAATGCTTCATTTATTTTTATTTTTGTGGTTTTATTTTTACTTTTAGGGATTTATTCTTCCTTACCTGTCGAAGTTCCTCTGAATCACAAACGATTTGTTTGTGATCTGACCCAAGCTGATCGTCTTGCCCTCTATGATTTTGTAATTGAGGAGACAAAGAAAAAGCGCTCTGATTCCCAAATTATCGAAAATGACAGTGATCTCTTTGTAGACTTGGCTGCAAAAGTCAATCAAGGTTTGAGATGAATATTATAGTTTTATATTTCTCAATTGTTATTCTATTCTTTGTTGTAATTAATATGATTTGTCAGACCGCTTTGAATAGGAATAAGATGGTTTTATGTCACTTGATATTCTATATAATAAAGAGGTAATATGCAAATTGACCATCATGCCCTTGCACAAGAGGGGCACCCCCCTGTGGTCACAAGATGGCTGGCAGGGGAGGGCAGTTGGGGGTGACCGGGCCTATAGGGGGGGAAAGGCAGTTGGAGGGACCATGTAGGACTCTCTTTCACGGCCCTTGTAGAAAGAGTTCCAATTCAGGGTTCGTGTTCTGGAGAAGGGCTGCACACAAACAAAAAGAGACTTGAAGAAATTCAATTTGGTTATATGGGGGGGTAGGCGGTAGTCCAACTCTAGTAGGAGAACTACTCCCTGCTCTGGCTCTGCCATCCCCTTTTATTGAGGCTTTGGGGAAAACATCTTAGGCAACATAAACAGAAATGTACATGTAGCCCTTAGGCAGGAAATAACAGAAACTTTCACGGGACAAACAAGGTAGATTCTGCTTCAGCTAACAATATCTCAACTAAAGGTTAGAGCAAATAAGGTTGTTGACCAGCCTTTCTGGCTTCCTGTCAGCGTCTCTTTTTTAGTGAAACTGATTTGTTTTCCAGCAGGACCAGGCCTGCAGGGGAGGGCAGTTGGGGCAATCGGGCCATCAGAAGAGCAGTTAGATGTCAATTAGGGTGCCAGGGGAATGGTTAGGAGGTGATCAGGTTGGCAGGCAGAAGCAGTTAGGGGCAGTCAGGCAGGCAGGCAGGAGAGGAGTTGGGAGCCAGCAGTCCCAGATTGTGAGAGTGCAGGTTGGGCTGAGGGACACCCAAATTTTAAGCACCAGGCCTCTAGTTCACATATAAAAGAGGTTTACTCGGTAGTGAAAGTTTGCTCTCTGATTTTTACATTAAGCAAAGCATCCTTCTGCGAGAATATTACTTACAGTTGTGCTGTTGCTCTAATTTATGTGCCTAAACAGTTATGTTCAACTGATGACTGGAGAAAAGTAATGGTCTAAAACTTAACCCATTTATATAATGTTGAATTTTTAGGATATTTTTAACATATTTTGAAACATGTTAAAATATGATATCTTCCTGTTAATTTTTAAGAATGTACATTTTTCTAAGGATATAATAATTCTATTTTTTATTAGATAACAGTCGAAAAAGTCCAAAGTCTTACCTTGAAATCTTGGCAGAAGTGAGGGATTATAAAAGAAGACGTCAGTCCTATAGAGCTAAGAATGTTCACATTACCAAGAAATCATATACTGAGGTAAGTTTTATATAATCTTGTAGAGCTTTGTTGAGAACAGACATTTCCTTTATGTAGATTTCTAAGTCTGTACTATGGATTTTCATAGTTCCTTGGACGTTTTCTGAAAAAATAAGTATCTTCAAGCTAGACACACCTGATCTGTAGTTGCTTCATCACTTTCAGATCCACTACTTGTCAGAGAAAGGCTTTTTAGGATACAGAAACCTATAAAGAGGTTGTTCAATCTTTTAAAAATACTTACTTTTTAGAAAGTGATAAGAGGATTTTAGACTTTGGCTTTAAACACACCTGGGCTTAAGTTTTCATTCTGCTGCTTATCATTGCTGTTTGACTTGGGCAAGTTGAGTTTTTTAAGAATCATTTGAAAAAAAATGTATCACAGTATAGACTTTGCAGGGTTGTTATAAAAATTGATGGAGATTATACATGTGGATATGAATTGCTCAATAAATAGCTATGATTTTTTTGGCAGAAATTCTAGTGTATATTATGTACGCTGCTAAATATTTAGACTTAAGAAATGTCTTGGTATAAATTATTTATAATTTATTTATATTTTTATGATTTCAGAGAGGAAGGGAGAGAGAGATATCACTGAGATTGCATAATCTGTGGTGCAGCTGATATATGGGGAAGGCGAGGGGTGGTGTGCTTGCCTGGCTGGTTATAATGTGGCTGCTGTTTGGGGTGCTTGACTGGCGTGGGGTAGGAAGATTGCTCTACCAGTGCTGGCAGGCTAGAGGAAGGGTTACCAGCAAGTTAGAATGAGATTGCATAAAGGGTGCCAGCCAGAGCCTCTGTCCCCAGGGAAAGTCTTAGCAGGCTCTTGCTTCTCTGGAGCCAGATAAAGTTGTAAGTGGGTCTCCCTCACTTATGGTCTAGGCTTTTTTAAACTGTTGCTTTTTGCTGGATCTCAGGGTGAGTGGGTCTGTACATGAACCCTTTAAAAGCAGATTCTCCATTCCTTACAGCTCTATGTTTCTTGTGGACTTAATCCCCATTGCTTTTCCAAAACCAAACATTTTGGGGGCTCGTTTTTCGGTGCCAGATCCAAGAGTTGGGGAGTGCTTACTGTGGGGCATAATCTCTTCACTCTTCCAGGGAGAATTCCATATTTTTCAGTATTCCTCTGGTTGTAGGTCTGTCACCACATCTGGAGTGGGGACTCCGGTGTGAGCGTGTCTCTGCCTCTCCTACCCGTCTGGATGCATCTCTTTTATCGTTTGCTGGGGAAGTGCTGTTCCTCTAGCTTTTGGGTCCTTTCAGGAGAAAATTGAATTTGTTGTATCTGTGGGAGAAAGTGAGTTCAAGGTCTTCCTATTCCTGTCCTGAAATAAAATCTTCAGTTTTAAATCTTGATATCCACTATTTCCATGAGGCACTAGTTGGCTCTGAGCCAGCCGCTGGCTTATTGCACTTATTTGTGGCCTGATGCATGAATTCATGCACATTGAAAGGAAGTTAATTAGAAGAAATATTTTAATATCACAGCAAGCTAACCCACGGCCAATTCTGTGAGGAATCGGGCTCCCTCCTCTCTGGGTCTGGGGTGCGGGTGAACCAGATTCAGGGCCAACGGTCCCAGGAGCAAGCTAACCCAGGGCCAGCAACCTAACCTACCAGTCGGAGCATCTGCCCCCTGGTGGTCAGTGTGCATCATAGCTACTGGTCGAACAGTTGCTTAGCTTTTACATATATACTAGAGGCCCGGTGCACAAAATTTGTGCATGGGGCGGGTGTCCCTCAGCCCAGCCTGCAGCTTCTCTAATCTGGGACCCCTCGGGGGACATCCTTCTTGCAATACGGGACTGTTGGCTCCTAACCACTTACCTGCCTGCCTGCCTGATTGCCCCTAACCACTCTTCCTGCTGGCTTGCTCTCCCCCTACTGCTCCTCACTGCTGGCCTGCTTGCCCCCAACTGCCCCCCTTGCCAGCCTTCTTGCTCCCAACTGGACCCCTTGCCAGCCTGCTCGCCCCCAACTGACTCCCCTGCCGGCCTGATAGCCCCCAACTGCCCTCCCCTCCTCGCCTGTTTGCCCCTAACCGCCTCTGCCTTGGCCATGCCACCATGGCTTTGTCCGGGGTGGTTTATAGGTGTCCCAGTCTAATTAGCATATTACCTTTTTATTAGTGTAGAGAATAGAGGCCTGGTGCATGGGTGGGGCCCAGCTGGTCCGCCCCGAAGGGAGTCCTGTATCAGGTTGGGGGTCCCCTTGGGGGATGGGGCCGGCCTGGGCAGGAAGCCTGGGGCAGTTTGTAGGCTGGCCACACCCCATTGGGGTGAGGGTCCCTGCTGGGGGCTGGCTGGGCCTGGGCAAGGGGCTAATGGCCATTTGCTTCGCCCTCATTGGTGTAAGGGTCCCCTCTGGGGGGCATGGCTGGCCTGAGCAAGGGGCTGAGGACCGTTTGGGAGTGGTTTTCAGGCTGGCCAAGCCCCCGGCTTTATCTGGAAGGACATCTAGAAGGTGTCCTGGTCTAATTAGCATATTACTCTTATTGGTATAGACTGGAGGCCCAATGCACAAAATTCGTGCATGGGTAGGGTCCCTAGCAATTGCTGGCTGCCAGCTGATGCCTCCCTTCCTCTGGCTGTCTGCCGCCACTGCCCCCTGGTGGTCAGTGCACGTCTGACTCCCAGTTGGTTGAACTCCTGCCTGTGGGGACAATTTGCTTATTAGCCTTTTATTATATAGGATAGGTGTTAGCACTTAATTTTATGCTGTTCTTTTTGTAATTAAAGTATATATGTATTGTTGACTTTCTCTCCCAGTAGAGGTCTGGGACCATGTTATACTACCTTAGTGATTCTTACAGTCCATTAAATACTTCATTGTATATCATTTGTTTCTTCTCATAACTTTGTGATCAAGTTTGTGTTGCTGCTAGTGTTTTTTTTACAATTTGATGCCTGACTTTTTATTACATAAATATTCAAACATATTCTAAAGTGGATGGAATTGTCTAATGAACCCTTCCTTATGTACATGACCCAGTCTCAACATGTGATCTTATTTTATTTATTCCCCCGTTTAGCACCTTCCTAAATGTGCTAAGTCTTCTCCTCCCAGTTGCTTGGTAATTTTGGAAGCATCCCAAATACCTTTCGTCTGCAAATACTTCAGGGTGTATAGTTTTTCTTAGTAATTTATCTCTGGCCAGGGCTTTTCCAACATTTTATCCAATCCTAGTTTCATTGATATCTTGTACTAGAGGCCTTATAATCCGGGATCCCCCGAGGGATGTAGTAATGTGCGAAGCAGCAGGCAGCTGGGGAGGAGCCCGAGCCTGGGCTGTGGCTGTGCCTTTCCTGCTCATTCTGGCCCAGTTCCCGCTGTGCCTGCCGCCACTGCCACTCCATAAAGCTGTTGTGGCAGCAGGAGAGGCTCCCGCTGCTACAGCTGCACTTGCCAGCAGTAAGTCCCGTGTCTGGCGCACATCAGTCAACTGAGCGGCACTCCCGCTTTGGGCTTGCACTGACTACCAGGGGCAGCTCCTGTGTTGAGCATCGCCCCCTGGTGGTCAGTTTGCATCAGAGTGACTGGTCAAATGGTTTGAACAGTTGGCCAGTCAAACTGTCGCTTAGGGTTTTATATATATAGATGTTTTTGTTTGTTCTGACTTAGAATCTGAACTTTGACTAATTTCAGTAAAATATTTATCTTTAGTGTAGTTACTATGCATAACATACTGCTGTGGGGTGTGTAAAGATAAATACACACAGATACCCATCCTTAAGGAATTATTATAGTTTAAGAGATAAAAAAGATTTTTCAAAACACAGATTGTAGTAAGTGCTAAAATGAGGTGAGATCAAAGTGTGTGGTGGAGGGATCAATTTTTTAAAAGGGAAGATTGGTGTAGGCTTCATAGAGAAGATATTATTTGAGAGAAGGGAGAAGCAGAGGGTGGGGGATAAGTGAAGGTCTGTTTATAGGCTCTGTGTGGCGGCTCTGTGGATACCGTGTCCGATAACATTTGGCTTCCCAGAGCTCACATAGAGCTACTGGGCAGAGTCATACAGGGAAGTTCTAGAGCTGAATTGGAGTTCAGGTATGTATGACTTATGCCACTCCCTGAGGTAGGCCTTCACCTATCTTAGATTTTCCACAAGAGAATGTAGTGGAGGAGGGGAAATAGTGGGTAAGGATTTTCCGGGTGGAAGGACTAGTGTTCCTAAAAATAAATTTAAGTAGAGAAGTTTTCCAGGGACCCAACTATAATCCAGGGTGGCTAGAATGTAGGGATTTTGAACGAGCATTCAGTAGACATTTGACGTCTATGTGGCATAGTAAAATCATGGAAAACTTCAAAGGCTGTATTAAGGAGTTTAGACATTGTTCCATTTTACTTCAGGAGCTTTTGAAAAGTTCTTTGAGGTGGGGAGCAAATCAGTCAGACCTGAGCCATAGTGTGTGTCTCTGAGATTGCCCCTTGTTTCCCATACCTTCTTAAAACTTTCCTAATTAGGCATGCAGGAACCAACTGTGACCTTCTATTTCACTTTCACCTAAACAGTGACTAGCCCCTGTGCTTGACGATGCTATAGGATAAATAGGAAGGGGAAAAAACTTTTAAATGGTTCTTAGGTGAGTGACCTATAGGCTCGCTGGGAAGGTGTCTGTGAAGTGACTGTGTGTTTCATGTTTTGTCTGTCATCTTGACTTAATTATAAGATTTTTTAGAAAAGAGTTTTACTTGTAAATCTCGAACATACAAATAAATTGCAAAACTGGAAATAATAGAAAGAACCCCTGTGTGTCTTTTATACAGACACCATTGTTAACATTTGCTCAATTTGCTTGCCATTTATACTCTTTATTGTTACTTTTTTTTTTTTTTGCTCTGTCTCTATCTGTACATTAATTTTTTTCTGAACTGTTCATTATGATCCTTTATCCCTAATGCTATTTCCTTCCTAAGACTAGGGTTATTTTCTTGCATAATGTCACTTTAATAAATTTAACATTGATATACTTTAATCTGCCATTCATATTACAATTTGACTTGCTTTTTTAATGTTATCTAAACTGTATACGTCCACTGTATCATAGCTTTTAATGAATATTTGATTGTCAGCAGTGATTTATTTCTAGCATTAAACTTAATTTTTCGAACAGCTTTCTTATCTGAAATCCTGTGCTTCACTCTCTAAGGTGATTCGGGATGTGATAAATGTGCACATGGAAGAACTCAGTCATAATTGGCAAGAAGAGCAGGAAAAAGCACAGGATGATGCTGAAAAGTATGTCATTGTGTTTATTGGTGAAAATATTCTCTTTTTAAACTCTTACTTGTAATCGTTTAAGTTTTAGTATCTCCAAGGGCATTATAGCACACTAGTATTCATCAGAGCACTTATTGTTTCTCTTCATTGCTTAGGATTATTACACCAGAGTTGTAAAACATGTCATAAAAACTGTGTCCCTGCCCTCTTATATGAAAATTACACACTTATTTAGATACTGTAACATTGGTCTAATGCAGAACATTAACTTTAGGCTGGGACACACTGAAAACCAGTGAAGAAAGTGAACTGATGAATGGTCCTGTCTGTTTCAGGAGACGAGAAAGGCGATCAGCCTCAGTAGATTCTCGGCAGTCTGGTGGAAGCTATTTGGATGCTGAGTGTTCACGGCATAGAAGGGATCGGAGTAGGAGCCCACATAAACGAAAAAGAAATAAAGATAAAGATAAAAATTGGGACTCAAGAAGGAGGAAAGAGAGGTAGGTCTAACATTGTTTTGTCCAACAGTGAATTGTTTACCTTTAAAAGGTAGAGTTTCTTAAGTAATGTGTAGGTAAGACAGTTAATTGTGTTAAAAAGGTGTTTGCTTTTTATCCTGCTGCTTCCTTCCTCCCTTCAACTGTCCCTTTTTTTTTTTTCCTTCCTTTGCTAATTCCTATGGTGTAGTATCATTGAGAAGATCCAAACTTTCAATAGCAGTCAATTTTGCCCTGTGAGTATCCCTGATAAAATTTTGATAGCTGAGAGATACAAACTAATGCTAAAGTAATAAATTGAAAGCAATTGAGGTCTACTCCTATATTTCAGCTGCTTACTGGGCATCTGCCTAGATTCCATGTTCAGTGGGGCTATACCTAAATTTATCTTTTTCTCAGTCTGTTCTTCTTTCCCAGCATTTCCTGTCCTGGTTAATGAATGACCATCATTTGTTCATCTGAGCCAGAAATCAAGGAGTCATGTTAGATACTCCTTTTTTATTCCTTACTATCTAGTCTTAATTGCTGTCAGTTCTACCTGAAGAGTCCTCATTTACTCCTCCTCTTCCTCTGTTGTTATTGCTGTCCATCTGGAAAAGGAAGTTGTTCTCCTAATTGCTCTACCTGTCTAGAAGCTTGTCCCTTACGGATTCATCTCTACCCTGCTGCCAGAGTGAACTTAATTTCACCTCTTACAACTCCTCAGTGGCAAAATTCATATTCCTTAGAATGGCTCTCAAGGATCAGGGCCTCTGCCTACCTATCCTTGTATTTTCCCACTTCCCATGAAATGGGTAGCTAGTGCTTTAGCCAGCCCGAATTACTACAGTTCCTCATCCACACTGTGTACATTTCTACCTTGCCATGTCATGTTCTGCTGCCAAAGGCCTGCTTGGTAAAGTCCTCATCTTTTAAGACCCAGCTTAGTCATTCCCATGAAGCCATTTTTCACCCACTCAAATAAAGCTGATCATTTCCATTTTATTACTTGTCTACCTGGCACATGCGTAATTATTACTCTCCCTTCTAGGCTGTGAGCTCTTTGAGGGCAGGCCCATGTCTTATGTAGGATTTATGTGCACAGTGCTTGTCTGATAAATGGGCTCGCAAATGATGCCTTGTCTCTCCAGGGTCGCTGGTGATCAGGACATTGTAAGGCTTATGCTTTAATAATTTAACTTATCTTACTATCATTCAGTTCAAGGATTTAAAGCTAGCTATGATTTAGTTCTCTTATAAAAAATAAATATTTACTTAGTAATCCCTTTTGATTCATATAATTAATGACATAATTTTATACAAATTAACTCTTGATTAGTTATCAGAAATCGTGCTGTTTAACTTCTTCCTGGTTTATTAGTGCTTTTTCCTCTTAAGTAAATTTTGATATGTCTGATGAATCCCTAATAACTTAAATTCATTAGACACTCTCAGAATCTAAACGTGATAATTTTCTTTTAAAGAAGATAAACTGAGTATTAGCAGAAATGTTTCTCAATAGCCTAATCTTTGATATTCTTCCTGAGAATGAGTTGAGACAGGAGCCAGGATAAAGACAGACTGTTTCTAATTTCTCCTCTGACTTTAGTATTCTACTTGAAATGAATTCTCTGATCATCAGCCATGTACGTATATTCAAAGTTAATTTTAAAGTGGAGCTTTAAAAAATTTATTTTGTTTATTCCCATCTCAATTTAGTCCCTTAGTTTTAATGATGCGGTTTCCATATTTACTCTTTAAAAATAACTTTTCAGTTCTAAATGCATATTTTAGTTTGTCCTGGCCTGTATCTGTTGTATGAATTATTACTTTTAAATTTTTTTTTTTTTTTACCCCTTTCATTTCAGGGATGGGGAAAGACATCATAGTCATAAAAGAAGAAAGCAAAAAGTATAATTTAAATATTCATGCATGTGTTAATTATGCTAATGGCAAGATAACCAATATGCTGATATTTCCATTGTAATTGCTTTGACTAGGGGAAAATGTTTATATGATCTGTTTAGTGCTCAGATCACTATTTTTCAATAAGTGTTTATGTCTCAAACCATAAGCACTATAACTTTGTTTTCCATATATTTTTGTTTCCCATGTATTTTAATAGATGACAGCTACCTGTTACTAATTTTGTTCTTTTTTTCTTTTTCAATAATTTATGTATGAGAAAATTCTTTAATTCAGTACTTAAATTATATAAATAATATACGAATGCATTTGCATTGTAAAAAATTAAACCTTACAGAACACCACCTTTCATTCCTATGGCCACCCCAGTGGTAACTGCTATTTAGCACTACACTGGTGAGTTGTAATAGGGAAAAGCAACCTAAATATCTGTCAGGAGGGGAAAGGCCTGGCTAAATAAAATGCACTATAGTCATATAACAGATTATTTATATAAGATTTTAAAAATAAACTTTATATGAATATGGATACATTTTAGAAACACAATGTTACGTGACAACAGCAAGTTACAGAAAGATATATACAGTATTATACATTTTCAATGGCTATATATGTATGTAAATATATTTTTAAAGAAGAACCCATATCAAACTCACAGCAGTGATTATTTGGGGTGACAGGTAAGGGGTTTCTGTGAATATTGGCAGGGTGGTTAAAGGAAACTTTAGCTTTACCCATAATACATTAGTTTCTTAAAAATAAGGTAGGTATTCAGCCTGGCTAGTGTGACTCATGGTTGAGCTTTATCCCATGGACCAGGAGGTCATGGTTTAATTGCTGGTCAGGGCACCTGCGCCAATAGGGGGTGTGCAAGAGGCAGCCGATCGATGTTTTTATCTCTTCTCCCTTTCTCTCTCTGAAATCAATAAAAACATACTTTTTAAAAATGAAAAAAATAAGGTATTCATATTTTACTTGTTAATTAAAAATTGTCATTTTCTTTTTTCTAAATGAACTCTTAAAAATATACTGTCATTTTGTTTTGTTTGTTGTAAATGAAATTTATTGAGGTACTGTTTACGTAAAATAAAATTATCCATTTTAAGTGTAATTTTCATTGAGTTATTAAAAGGCACACTTGGGTTTTAGTAGAAAGGTGAGTGGAAAAGGAGTGGGATGGTGGGGTTGTGGAAAATCGGGTAGATGATCTAAGATGTAACCAGAATTCTTTTGAAGCATCTGTCTTATATAAAAACTGCTGTTTGATATTTTAACCCTGCTATTTTGGCTTCTGTAAATGCTTGCTTCCTTAAATAATAAGGAAATAAGACTACTCCAGAGAGGCCATAACCTTCCCCCAGACTAAGTTAACAGTGTTGGCACCAGGGCAAGCCTTTGGTTGAGGTCTCAAAGCCCCAGCACATAGGGCTGTTTAAGAACTTGCAGAGGGGACCGGAAACATCCCATATTTGGGAGACAAAGAAGGTAAAAACAAATACTGAATAAGGAAAGTTCCTCCATGTTGGGGCCGGAATTTGAAATAGTTTCTCTTGGCTTGCGCATAATAATAAAGTGTACTCCATCTCTCCAAGCGTTGCTTGGTTCTTCTCCCACCTTCTGTAACACTTTGAAGTCCAAAATTTTAAGTAACTCCTGCAAACTATCCTATAAAATGTGGAATTAAGTAAGAGGTATTTGATCCTTGAACATATTACTTTTCCATGCTTACCTATTTGTATTTCGGACTCCATCAATATAACCCTCATACCTTGCATATAATAGTTGTTAATTAATTTAAAATTTTGATGAGCATTTGAAGACCCCTTTCACCTAACATCAGACTTTTTATTCATAAAGGGCTGATGTTAATAATTATTATAATTGCTATCCATCTTATTTATCCACTAAGTCCCAGCTCAGATGACATCTTTTCACCTACATTTCTGATCTACTGTGTGATGTTTATGGGTGAGGAAATTTAGGCATAGAGATGCTTAGTTATTTCTCTAACACACAAGTAATACAACAAAGATTGGAACTATTAATAGAATCCCTGCTTTTGACCACTGTATAAACCACTTCATTAACTGTGAACCCTTTTAGTGGATTCTGACATCAAGGTAGTAACTATCATTTCAAAACAGTCTTCATATCCACCAGAGTTCTTTGAACTCCTTTATAAAATTAAAAAAAAAAATTGAAACACTACCACCTGCCATTTTGCTAAACTCAAACTGATTCATAAATTTGGATTATATCTTGAGGCCATTTGGTTATGCACCAAAATTCATTGCATTGATCAACTTGGCAAAGCAGGATTTCCCATGAAGTGAAAAGAGCTCACAGCACCTCCTAAAATTAAGACTTGCTGGACAATTAAATGTCTACTTCCTGGAGGAGTCTCAATCAACATAAGGAAGTTGGAATCAACTGAGGAAAAATTGAAATCTTTTATCTTCCTGTCTACTGTACCCCATCTGCTCATCCCAAGGAGGAGAATATGCCTGTCTTCGATCTGCCATCAGAAAGCATTGCTTATTGAAGTTCAAGAGAGGAGGCATTTGTGAGCAAAAGCATTGAAGGGAGCTTCTCAGATATTTAGACTGATATGGTCACTTAAAAGTATATGTTGTTAAGGCAGCTGCTGCACAGAGCCCAGGGCACTGATAACATGAAGTAAGAAACTGAACTCTGTCAATGATCTCTGCCGTTTTTTGAGTAAGACTGATTGGATAATCTCAAACTTTAGTGAAAATTAGTTATCAAATGGTAAATTGGAGGTAGAATATTTTAAATTGGTACTGAGAAAATTCTTTTTTAAAGCTAAAAAATATAGTCACCTATGTACTCTATATTACAGAAATACTAATTTAATACTATAAAACTGCATATGGTCTACTGAGGGTGCTTTTTTTTTTTTTTTTTTTTTTAATGTTTAGTGACTTTATAAAGGTCCAGTCTTGTTAAATTCTGAGAGTAGAAAATAAAGTCCATTCACAGTTGAATATGTTTATGAGGCCAGCTTCTTTTTGTGTATTTTGCTTTTGAGTTGCTACCCTAAGCCAGCAGGTGTGTTTATTATTAAGCAAAGGCTCTTTTAAACCACACTAGTTTTATTACATTAGTGATGGTACTTCCTACTCTGGTCACAGATTTGGGAGTTTGGTGTTACGGAAAGTCCTCACAGCTTTTGTATATTTTGACTGGGACCAGTAGTTTTTAGTGCTCCTTTCCAGAAAAGAAAAATATATATATATATATATATAATTTGTCAGACTTAAAAAGCTGTAAATGGATTCATCATTGAGCAAGCTGAGTCACTTTCCTATTCAAAAAACAAGTAAGGCCACAGAAGAGAAAGGATGCTACCCTAAATAGAAAATGTAAACTCACTTTATTTTTGATCCTTTGATGTAGTAATACAAGGCAGGAGCCACTTCCAGTTAAAGTGCTGCTACCCATACCACATGGATGATATTGAATTAGGAAAGGCTGCAGGCTCTGGCCTTAGGATCATTTCTTGTGGCACCAATGAAGGGATGTGGTGTTGGGTTGCTTGAGTGCTAAGTATTTAGGAGGTGGATTTCCCACAAGCATGAGGCTTTGGTAACCCATCTTGTTCCTCCAGCTTCAAGCCATGATTCTCCCTGGAGGTGTCAGGAATAGAGACATGAGGCATGAGCCTGGGCTTTATTCGGTATCACTAACAGTGCAAATTAAACCCTTTTAAGTGACTAAATTCTTCACATATTGGAAGGGAAAAAATCCTTGATCAAAAGGAGCAATGGAGTCAGTCATAGATATAATATAGGTTCTTCGCCATATGACCTTGGGCAAATTCTTGATCTTACCTCCTAATCCTCATCTATAGATTGAGAAAATAGTGCATTCAAAAGGTTGCAAAGAGGTTTAGAGATAGATGACAAGTACTACCCTGTTTCCCCGAAAATAAGACAGTGTCATATTAATTTTTGCTCCCAAAGATGCGCTAGGTCTTATTTTCAGGGGATGTCTTATTTTTCCATGAAGAATACGGTACACATTTATTGTTAAATGAAAATAAAGGAAATTGCCTGTGTACGGTACGGTAGTCCGGTAGTTGTCAGCACAAACCAGACAAACTGAATCCTATAGTATCAAAAATTTACTCATTTATTCAATGACAATCATGTAATCATCATCTGGAACATCATAACAATCCAATTCCTGAATTTTCTGGTGAATTCCTTGTGACTCCATTTCTTTCCGAATCAGTGGACCAAATCTCATGTTTAGCAATAGCACTGTCTTTAAATGAGTACTTCTTGTCAAGGTAGCCTGCTTGCAGTGCATTTGCAATGCAACAGTGATTTTCTCCCATGAATTCTTCACTCAAATCACAACTTCTTGCAGTTTAGTTTTCACAAAGTTTGCATGCTGATTTCTCTCCATTCTATTTTCAATGTAGTCATTAATTTCCATGCGCAAATTGTCTTTGAATGGCTTGTTTATTGCAATATCAAGAGTCTGGAGATAGGCCGTCATTCCTGCGGGAATCATCTGATCTATTTTTCTTTTGTGAAGAAATGTCTTCATGTCTTTAGCGTGGTGAGTGCTGGCTGCATCCCAGACTAGCAGACCTCTTTGGCTCCCTTGCATAACAAGCAACAGCATTAAATTGACCTACTTCCTTATAACTGCTTGTGTGGCCCAGGCTTTTTCACTTTCAAGAATAAAAATGCCCAAAACACGTTCTATCTTTTCCTTCTTGCCCTTAGAAATGATTAAAGATGTGATTTTAGTGCCATCCAGACAAATTGCCAAAATACAGCAAACACGTGCACTTTTGTAAGCAGTGGAGGGAATGTACACTAAGGAGGCACACCGCTGTTCAATTGTTGTTTGAGATGATTGGCCCACAAACACTGCAGTTTCATGCATAGCAATCATGTTGGAAAGATTGTATTTAGAGAAGTCCATCAATAAAGGACTTGAATGCAAGTGCTAGCTTAATAACTTGAGTATCCTCCAACCTAAACAATGTTGTACTGGTAGATCTTAAAAACAGTTCACTTTGCTGAAGGAAATTATCCAGCCAGTGTTGTGATGCTTTGAAATCTTTGGGGGCTATGTCAAACTGTGGTGCCATTGCAAGGGCAAATTCTTGAATCTGAGCCCTATTCACAACCAAAGCCTTTGCTCTCCTGTCAACAACCCATTCACAGATCAGGTCTTCCAGCTCGGAAAATAATGGTTGCTGACCTGATCCACACTTGTGCTTTTTAGCATTTTCCTTGTCCACTTGTTCAATGAGGTTACCATACTCTGCTCGCCATTTTCGGACCAATCGGATACTCAACATCTCTTTGCAGAAAGCCGTAAGATTTTGGCCCTAAGAGTCTTCCTCGATTCCTTTCTTGTACTCCACGGAGTAGCTTTTTCTTTTTGTGCTCATTTCTAGGGATTAAAAAAAAGGAATTGGGGTATCAAGGTGGAGGGAGGGGGATCACTTAAAATGACACAGGGGAGATCAGAGGGGGGAATCAAAATGGCACAGGAGAATCTGGGGGGGGGGATTACCATTTTAGTAACCCCTTTTGATCCTCCTGTGTCATTTTGATTTCCCCCTCTGATCCTCCTGTGTCATTTTAAGTGATCCCCCATCCCCCACCCCTGTGCCACTGAACACCTTCACCAGACATCCTCCCTACCCCTTTATCAGACATTTACCCCCTGGGGCCTGCCTGGGGACTGTCACTGGGCTTGCTGGGGCCTGGACCTGGGCTGCAGCAGTGTCTGCCACTGACTAAGAACCTTCAGTCATCATGAGGGCGGCCGCGAGCATCAGGTAGTGTCACCAGAGACAGACCAGCACTCAACACCTTCAC